CCATCTGCTGGTAGTGTTTGCAAAATTTTGAAGTTTTGCTGAGCTGCATCCACTTGTACATGTTACAGGTGTGATTTCATCTATAAGGTAGTTGATAAGACCTGGGTGGAGGCCACGAAAGCTTTGGAAGGGTAGTTTTTGAGACAAGTTCTCCTATAGCCAAGGCTGGTCTTGAACTATGGCTCTTCCTGCTTCTGCTTCCTGAGTACTGGGACTGCAGACATACACCACTTTTTCCAGCTCCACAGGCTTCACACTGAGCAGACCAGTGTTGTTTTCATTCTGGGCTCTGATCCTCACTAGAACAATCTAGGAAGGCTTTTGAAAGCCCAGACACAGAGAACCCAGGTAATAGGTCCAAAGTCCAGCCCGGCCTGGGAACCAGCACCCTCAGGGGCCTCTGAAACGGTCACCAAACAAGAAGCAAACAGAACATCTGGCTTGGCCAAGGAGGGCTCTGAGACCCAGAGTTGTGAGTAATGTGCTCTGTGAGTCCCTGTTAGGCAGGCATTGACTCATGAACAAGAGCTTGGGCTCTGGAGCCCAGTGGTCCTGGGTTCAAATCTCCACTCTACTCTTTACAGGTGTGCCAAACAGCCACACCTGGAACATGAGCTGCTTACTAAGCTCATGGTCTCTGCTCTGTGGGGAATGGGATGGGAAGCCGTACATGAAGGGTTTCTCCCAGTGGCTGGTACACCACAAGCACCAGCCTCTGTAAGCACGAGTCTAGGGGTTTTCATCATGCCTGCTGAGGAGGAAGGGAATGCGACTTCAGACTCAATTTATTGGTCAAGTTAGGACTTTGAAAATCATATGAATTTTTCAGATTCCCGTACGTTCCGTAGGTGCCTTGTAGAACATCACTCCCATGGACTGTAAGGGTATCTTGCCCAAGCCCCTTTTCTATAGGAATGTTTGCAGGGGCAAGAAGTAGAAATAGAACGGCCTGGCCTCTGCTGCATCTGGCAATGGATGCTTAGGACTGATAATCACCTCCCATCTTCATCTACAGCGCTATCAATATGTCCAGGACACGTTCAAGACACTTTTGCAGGCCGAGAGGTGCAGTCTCTGGTGCGACCACTAGGGGTCTCCACGCTCCACCAAATGGCTCCTTCCATGGTCCTATCAAGGGATTGACTCCCAGCTGTCTTGAAGCACAGACAGTGACCAGAGTGGACCAGGGACTCCAGACCCTGGCCCCCCAGAGTGCCATCAGTCCTCTCTCCTGTCCACAAGGGTCGGGTCACAGGTCATGATGAGGTCTAGCCTCTGAAGATGTCGAAGTTCAATGTAATGGTAAGATGCGTCAGGGAGTGGAGCGGAGGAGTCTCTACTGGTTGAATATCTACTAGGCACTAGGGACCAGTTGGTTTTCTGTCACTGTCAGAACCATAATCCTGCAGTTTATACACTGAGCTCTGTCTTCTAACACCAGGTTGCAGCTGCTTGGGGAAGCATCGTTTGGTGGGGCTGGGATTCAGACGCCATTCTGCCCTGCTCCAAAGCCTATGTTCTTTCTGGGTCATCCTGCCACTCGGCATCACAGAGGACACTTGGGGTCCAGCTCCTGGAAAGATCAACTGTTTCCCACCTCCCACACTCAGTCACTCACAGACACCATCACATTTACACACACACACACACACACACACACACACACACACACACACACACACCAGCCAGCCCAGTAGAACTCAGTCCTAGCCTCTCACACCAGGCTTTTGTGGAGGGGGTGAGCTATGAAGGGTTAATATAGATGAGTTATTCTAATTTAACCATCTTCATGGCTTTTATTTTCTCCTCCTTGAATGTACTCTGCACCGGGGGGCCTGTCTTCCTGGTTCCTATGAGAACAGTGTTTTTTCTTGAATAGAGCTTGTTTATGGGTTTTGCCTGCTATTACAAAAGCAATCCCTGCTATTGGAGAAAACATAGAGACACCAAGAGAACAGAACCACCCCCGTCCCCACCCCCAGGGACAGCCCAGGCTAACACATGTGCACGGTCCTTCCCACCCTTTCCTCCTCTGCACACCCTCTGCTGCCACAGGGCTCTGGAGTCCCTGTCCTGTCTAAGGTTGTTCTGGGTCATCATAGTGCATTATGACAGGGTCCTATGTACCCCTGGGCTTGCTCGCTTGGAGAGGGTACAGGATGATTTCACAGGCTCTGTTGTGGAACACTGTCCCCGGAGCACACTCATCAAAGCAGCTAGGACTGCTCACCAGAGACCTTCGGGACTGGTTCTGTTGAGACCGGGGAGCTGGCTCAGTGGGTAAAGTACTTTCTGCACAAGCATGAGTTTGGGTCCCCAGCAGTCACATAAAAAGCCAGGCATGGCGGCATTCATCTGGAACCACAGCCCTCGGAGGTAGAGACAGGAAGATTCCCCAGCACTTACTGGCCAGCCTAGGCAACCGGTGAGCTACAGTTTCAGTGAGAAACCCAGTCTCAAAAAATAAGGTGTGAAGAGTCTGGTAAGATAGACAGCTCAGTGAGTACAGGCATTTGCCACACAAGCCTACGGACTTGAGTTCGAGTCCCAGATACCACAGTGGAAGGAGAGAACCAACTCCTGAGAGCTGTCCTCTGTCCTCCACACGTCATCGTGTGCATACATACCACACATGCACACACACTAATAATACATAAAATTAAAAATAAGGTGGAGATACTGACTTCTGGTTTCCATATGCTTGCACGCTGCCCCCCCCAGAGAGAGAGAGAGAGAGAGAGAGAGAGAGAGAGAGAGAGAGAGAGAGAGAGGATTGGGCCTACAGACATTCCTTCATAGAAGAGGTGGGGAGGGTCACTAGACCCCACCCGCTTGAGATTGCAGCTAAGCCTTCCCGAGCCTCCCTACCTGCTGCATGCAATTCTGCCTGAGTTGCATGTGGTCTAGTAGGCTCAGGAAGTGTGGCAGAGGTTATGGAAGGGAGGGGGTGTCTTACTTTGTGCTGATGAGACTTTTCAGTGATGTGACTGTTTGGGGGTGCCGCCCACATTCCTACAAGTAAACCTTATAAGCTCCCCGTTGGAATCGTTGCATCAGTCAGTCACTGGTGACCTGTCTGGGGTGAGCAGCCACTTGCTCACATCCCTCCAGGAGAAGTTCATGCTGCAGGGTCCTGTGCCTTAACCTCAAGGACTCTGCTCTCTCATGCTGAGAGGGAATTTGGAAGGGAAGGGGAGGGCCAGAGGCTCTCACTATACATAGAATTTTACCAGAATAATCTGGAGACCAGGACACAGGGCCGGGGAATCCTTAACTCAGCACAGACAAGCCCAGTATAAGAACCTGGGTATCTTGTCTCCTCACCAGATCCAGCTATGGACTCTGCAGGTATGTATGCTCAGACAGACCCTGCTGCCAGCCACAGCTCTGTAGCCATTGTCTTGCAATTATTTTCATTATTATTGTCATTGTTGTTATCATTATTACTTTATATTTAAAAACATTGTGTGTGTGTGTGTGTGTACATGCACACATGCGTGCACCTGCCACAGTGCACATGTAGAAAGTCAGAGAACAACTGGTAGGGGCCAGCTCTCCCAGGGGATCCAATGAATGCCAGGGTTGGTGGCAAACACCTTTACCTACTATGCCAACCTTACCGGCCTCACAGTTTGGGAGCATTTAATCAGTCACACGCGAGAGCCCTGCATTTCCTTTTGCATTGAGCTCTGCAAATTATGTAGCTGGCCTGTTCCTAATAATAATACCAATTACCGACAGAGCTTGCTGTACACTTGCCACCATGCATTTTTTTCCCCATATGGAATTCACCTGCCCCTCACAGCAGCCAGGTGTAAATTGCTTCTATTCATCTCAGCCAACCCACATGAAAAGGCATGCTAGGCACTAGGTACTTCATGTATACTGGTGCCCCAAAGGCTCCCAGCAGGGTAAGAGGTGCCATGACCACCGCGGAGACCCCCCTGTTAGAGTCAGGAGCTGAGGTCCAGGAGAAGTCACTCACCGCAGTTTGCAGCTAGGGAGGGTTGGCATTTCAATCACCGCTTTTCATTCCAATGCCTCCTATCACTGTGTGGCAGCCAGCACAGGCCCTGCCTGGCTGGCCAGGGGCTGTCCCATGTGCTCTGCACCCCTCCCTGCCCTGCCTCAGCCTCCATCCTGGCTGTGACGGGCACCCCACAGTGCCTGGGAGGGCACGTAGCTCTACCCATGCTGTCAGCTTCCATTCCTGCCACCTCCTGATGTGACAGCTGCTGCACCAGGCCACCTCCCAGGCCCGGGTGTCCAATCTGCACCCCCGCCGCCACCCTGCCCCTGCACAGAACTTTGGGACCAGAAGGTGTCACTTTCCATCTTTTCCTCGTGGTGCTGAGCTCATGAGACTACAGCTCCTGGGACCGGGTTCATCAGTGATGGTTGCTGCTGAGATGACAGTCCCAGGGGGAGTCAGGGTGGCTGAAAGCCGGTCCGCAGGGATCCTCACACGCTCAGGCTGGCTTGTGCAGATTCTTGTCTGAAAACGGGGAGAAGAGGCTGGGCTCAGCAATTCAGAATTCGAGAGCTGGGCATGCATAACCCTAAGTTCAAATCCTAGGCCCACCACCTAACAGTCATATGGTGCTGTCCCCTGGAGTAGACAAAAGAGCAAAAAAACATAGGTGCCTGGATGAGGACCTCAGCCCCAACAGAGAACCTCAAGTTCAAATGACAGCTTGGGCACTTACTACAAGTGGGACATTGTACGAGTCTTCTTCAAACGTCCCGAGACTTACCCTCTGCCAACCTCCTAGGTCTCTGTGGGGACTGAGCAATCTTGTGGCTGTGAAAGCCTTCCTTGGTGCTCTGTAAACCATTATGACAAAATAGGACTGCATATGATAACTCCCTACTGCCTCAGCAGATCAGGTGCCCTACTGGGAGGATTATAGACAGGGCAGATGGCTAAAGAGAAGGCCAAGTTCAAGGCCAGGTTCCCACAGTGCTGGGAATTTGTAGCTGAGGCCTAGGGTGGCTGGACACCAGGCCCATGACTGAGGATCAGGAGCTAAGGCACCAGGAAGCTCTTGACAGGCATATAAAACAGTTTATTCAAAGCCATGGAGTAGGCCAAGCCCCCCATCAGCCTAGGCTCTCCACCAGCCTCTCTACCCTTCTGGTGTGGGAGTAAGGGATGGAGCTCTGGTGTCAGGCCTCTGTCCCCAACTCTTTGCAAGTCCCCTCTCCTCCACGGACCCAGCTCCCAGCCCTCCCCCCATCCACCACCCTCACGAGCCCCTGAGGAGCTGGCTAACACCCTCATTGAGATGCTGCAGTAGAAGTGGGGCCTGGGAGGACTTTTCTAAGCAGCTCCAAAGGATGCAGGATCACACTCCGAGTCTCCAGCATCCAAAAACACCACAAAAATGCAGGTCTTGAAAATTAATCCTAATTTGGGATGTTGGCTTGGTTCTTAGCCTGATCTGACTAGGGTAGACTTTGATGGCCTGTCTGAGAGAAAATTACCCACAGAGGTCACAGGGAATCCTCACTTAAAGGCTCAGGATTTGGTTTTACTCCTAAGGGCAAAAAACAGGGTGAGGGTCCCATCAGCTTGGGTGACAAGTCACTGGTTCCCAAACCTGACCCAGTACACCACATGCCCCAGAACTACGTGAAGATTAAAATGTACAGACTTCGAGTCACAGAAGACAGATAGTGTAGGACTCCCTGAGAGGAGGCAGAAAGTAGTCTCTTACAGACACTGAAACAGAAGGGTGGGCACCAAAGGCAGGGAAGGGGGATGGGCAGATGGGAGGCTCTGTGTAGCAGGTGCAGAGGTTCAGCCTTGCACCGTAGGAAAGCTCCAGAGACCTGATGCACAATGGAATCTGTTTACTACTGAACTGAACACAAACACAAGGACCAGCCAGACAGCAAGGGCCACCGATTGTCTGACTTCAGTTCAGTCCCAGGACCCACACGGAGGAAGGAGAGAACCAACGCCTAAAAGCTGTCCTCCAATCTTCATACATGCCACGGCACGCCTGTGCCCACATACGTTCGGACACTCACCCACCCCATGCACAAATTAAATAAATGCGTAAAAAAAACACTTGCTGGGTATAGGAGCACACGCCTCAACCCCAGCACTTGTGGGGCAGAGGTAGTGGATCTCTGTGAGTCTGAGGCCAGCCAGAGCAACACAGTGAGACCCTGTCTCAAAACAAAACAAAGAGCAGTTAAAATTGAAGCTGGGGATACGGCTCAGTTGGTAGAACGCTTGCCTATCATGCACAAGGGCGTAGGTTCAATCCCCGGCATTGCATAAATCAAGCGTGCTGCATATCTGGAGAAGCAAGAGGATCAGAAGTTCAAGGTCATCTTTGAATGCGTAAAAAAAGCCAGCCTGAGCAGATGAGATCCTAAAAAAAAAAAAAAAAAAATCTTGCACTTACTCAAGGCCAGCCTGGGCTACAGAGCAAGGCCTTGACTCTAAAGGAGGGAGGTGGGGCTAAGATGATAAATTTTACATTATGACTTTTCTGTGCACTTAAAAAATTCTTTAAAAATCCTGCCCCTGGCACCTGGAAGCCTATTACACACATCTGAGAAATCTGATTTTTCATTCGCCTGGTTGGGGGTGGGAGGTGGGGAATCAGACACATGACTTCTGTGCAGGGCCAGGCTCAGATCAAGCAAAGGCTGTACCATGAGAAGTCCTCCCCTCCCCCTCCCCTTACAGCCTCCCTGCCTAGCGATCACAGAAGCCCTGTGCCCTCACCCTGCCTCTGCCAGCCGCCTTGGTGAACTTCTAAAGCACAAATCCCATGCAGGCACGCAGCCCTGCAGCTCCATGAAAACCCATACCAGCCTCCTGCTGTCCTTTGTAAAACCGAAGAAGCAACTTCAGCAGAGCCTGTTCAGGGAGGGATGGCAATATGCTGGGCCAGGGAGCCTTGGGTATGGGCAGAGGTCCCACCAGGGTCCCAGCCCAGGAGATAGAACAGGACTGGGGTGAGAGACGCTTCCCAAGGAGACAGGTGTTTGGAGCTGAGCCTTGGAAACGGAGGTAGTGTTGGCCAGAGCCCTGGGGGAGGCAAGAGGAGGTAGGACCCAGGGTAAAGGACAGAAGGGCAAGGACACGGAGGTACACCTCACAGGTGACGAGCAGGAAAGCTGCAATGGTGAGGTCAGAGGGAGTGGGAGGGAGAGCATACAGAAGAGAAAAAGCCAGTTTGACTGGTTAGTGACGGGGGTGGGGGGGTGGGAGGGTGGGGGCGGACTCTCAGGACTGCCTCTGTCTTTCCACCCCCAAGGTGGCATCAGGCCTGGGATCCAGGTTGCCCTCATTGTTTTCCCTACTCCTGAGTGGGGGTTTTAGGGAAGGTGATCTTGTACCCAGGTACCCCCCCCCACACACATCTAGTCTATCTCAGATCACCTCCCAGGGCTCTCTCTGTTCCTCTCCTGCCAGCCTATGGATCATGTCTCCTCTCTACTATCCAGCCAGACTGTCTACAGGTTTACCTATAGGCACTCACAATAGGTGGTTAGTAAAAGCTGGTGGGCCATAGCGTACATAGGTCTCAGAGGGCATCCCCTGCAGATCCTCGGACGCTGCCTCCACTAGGGCCTCTGGATCTCCCTAGGACATCAGAGATGAGTTCAAGGGTCACTGTAAGAGAGGCCCATCCTAAGGGAGGGGGAGAACTGCAGTTTCAATCTCATCTCCAGTCACCCCCAAAGGAACACACGGCCTAATACTAAGAGCTCCCAGGCAATCTCAGCAGCAGGTCCAGTCAGAAGCCCTCAGGCGGCACCACCCATTGTCAGCTTTGACAGCCCAAAGGAATCCAAACCTGTTTCCATACCCAATATGCATTTCAGAAAGTTCCCTTCCACCCAGAGGTATCAGACCTCTTTTACATCTACTGGCACACACAGGGAGGCCTCTTCTCCCCACCCACATCCTAACACACAGCTTTCACCTAGGGTCCAGCCAGCACAGCAGCCAGAGCTCCTGGAGGACCTCGGCTTCTCCCCAGAGGCCAGTGTCTTGCGGCCCCGACTACGGGGCCATCATGGTGTAGCTCATATGCAATGCTTATGTTTTTCAGGATTAGGGAAAGCAGAGATATCCCTGTGAACACTGACAAAGAACTCATAGCAAATTGTTGTTGGCAGAAAGGTTAATTGGGTACAGTTATAAGCTTGTTCCTGGGACAGGTATGTTAATAAGAGCTAAAACTTCTGAGAATGCCCAGAGCTGGAGGGAGAGATTAATATGCCAGAGTCCAAGGTCTCAGTGAAACAGCACCCAGAGAGCTCTCAGCAACAACTCAGAAACTCTGTCTCCTTCCTCCTCACTATCAGCTCCCTGTGGTCCCCAACAAGTCCCTGCCTGCCCCTGCAGACCTGGGAAACACCACTGTGCAAGGCTGGTCTCCCGAGTCTCCCGATGGAAGCCTTGGTGTGGTCCTGTGGGGGGTATCATCTCAGTTTGCGAGACTGAGGAAACTGAGGTTTGCTGAATGCGATGAAATTTGTCTCAGTTGGCAGTGATTGATAGCCTCAGCATAGACCCTGACTTCAGACTCAGAGACATTCTAGTATGGACCACAGGATGGTCAGGAAGACATTCTCTTGGTCTCCGCTAGGGGGCGCCCCACACCGGTTCTCCCTGTTGGCACCAATGCCTTTAGGACCCTCAGCTAGAGTGGCTTTCTGTGGTCTCTAAGCTAGGTGGGTTGGGCACTGCCAGCCCTTGGGACCATGTCCAGAGGCACAGCAATCCTTCTGAGGGTCAGGGAAAGGGGGCTCTGAAATCCACAGGAACCTGGGGGCCTATTATCTCTGTCCTCGGGTCTCTTGGAAACCCCAATGTGTTAGGTCAGAATGGAGTCATCTATAAATGGCAGAAGCTCAGAAAAGACTGGTAACTTACTTGAGGTCACAGAGCAGGACTGTGGGGTTCTGACCTGCAGGGGCAGGAGGGTGCTGGTCCCCAGTCCTGCAAGCCACAGTGATGACAGAGAAGGAAGTCCTGTCCTGCACAGGGTGCTCCAGCTGTCTGTCAGAGATGACAAGCTGAGGGGCAAAGCGAGAGGCAAGCAGCTAGCAGGGTGAGCGTGGTAAGGGTCTCCCCGGTGTGGGAGCCGATCTCCGGGGGATCGGCATGGTGAGGGGGACACAGGACTGTCTTGGAAAATCCCAGCTTTCCCAGGCAGGTGACAGAACCCGCTCTCCCAGCCAGGCCCAGCAACGTGGAGGCCAGAGCCACCTGACTCTAACTATAAATAGAGAGATGACGGAAGGCTCCGGAAGCCCAAGGGAGGCCAGAGAAAGGGAGTCGATTCTCCCTAGAGACTGAGGAAGACACACACGAGGCATCCTCCTGCAGTGGGCCTTCAAGGTCAGCTTGGAATCCTGCAGAAGGCCAAGGAGGGGAGTCTTGGCAGGCACTGGCCCAGAGGGTGGGGCAGAGGTGTGCAGAGATGTGGCAGACGGCAGGTCCCAAAGGCCAAGGGATTTGGAGGCCAGAGGGGAGGCTCTGTGCTGCGAGCAGAGTCTGCTCATACAGCAGTCTGGCATCGTGTTGAATTGGACTAACGTCCAAGAATGAGAAAGACGTAAGAACAAAGAGTGAGTGATTCAAGGCCGCTGGGGGCACGGTGCCAGGAAACACACAGCCAGCCTTCCCGTGGAACAGGAGCAGATTATGGGATTCCGGAGGTTGCCAGCTGTTTCCAAGCATGTTTCTCCACTGAACTCCTGACGCTTGGCTGGGCACAAAGTCACCTGAAATGAAGACTGTCTATTCCAGATTTCCCTTTAAGATGTCTACAGTTCTTCTGTGGGATAGAAAGCTCTTTTCGTCTCTTCTTTGCTGGTTGTAATATGCACATGCTTATTGGAGCTGGGGCGGCCATTTGTGGCCGTGTAGAAGCCACATCTAAGATGACTAAGAAACAAGTGGCGGTGTAGGCACCACCGTGGGGCTGCCGTACCAGCCCCGGAGCCGACACCCCCACATTGGGTTTACTTGGGAGGAAAAAAGAAACCTGCAGTATTTGCACTATTGTGGCTTTGGGGTTTTCTTTCTCCTATAGGTGAACGTATCCTGAGTACACACAGGTCGTTTGTGACCCTCTCAAGAGCCCTTATATATGGGGATTCTGTTCCTAGGCCATTTTACACCCAATAAACACCACGGACATGCTATGTGATTCCACGCAAGAAATTAGCAGGACTTGATCCTTTCTGGAATCTTCCCTTGGGAAATATCAGTGGAAGGCCTGACCATGTGGCATGGTTGATGCAGAGAGAACTCTGTACCAGGGCAGTCTTCCTTCCCTCCAGGCAGTCTTGTCTTTCTACTCCCGAAGTTAGCACCCTGGGATCACCAGGGTTCCTGAAACTGTATTCCAGGCTAGCTGGCCATGAGCTGCCAGCTCATTCTCCTGTCTCTGCCATCTATCTCTGCTGGGATTACAGCGTTGAGCCACCACATCCAAGGTTTTACATAGATCCCAAGGATTAAACTCAGCGTCGTCAGTCTCTGACAGCAAGGGCATTCACTCCCTGAGCATCTCCCTGCACCCCGTTGGTTCCTTCTGTTCCCCTCCCTGAGTGGGTGGGATTGAATGATCACCCCATGACAATACCAACCATGAAAGCCACCGTGCCATGAAGACCCCAGGGCAGCCCTTGCAGTACCCAGATTTCCATGAGGGGACTGTGAACACATCTCTTCCCCTTGGCTAGGATGGAAACCCAGATTCTGCCATTCACAGGAACAGCTTTTCACTGTGTCACCCGGGGATGTGCAGTTCAAGGCCAGTGCACCTCCCTATGCGTCAGGTTCACTGGAGGGCGAGCAAGAGAAGGAGCAGGAGGCAGCTGAGAAAACATTCCCCTGCAGCTCGGGCTGTCTCTCTGACTCTTACATTTGCTTTTGTTGAGGTCGCAGGACCTTCAGTGGGGGCTGGGGAGCTGGTAAGGGCATTCTCAGGGGCCTTCAGGGACTGTGCAAGGCCCGGGCTCACACCTCCCTTCCCAACATCCATCCTCCAACAGGCGTTACATCCCAGGCCTGGGGGAACAAGTCGCAGAGGTGAGGCAGAGGGAGCATGCATGCTGCAGGGTGAGCAAACACGGATTCAGACTGCCCGGGTGGGAGTCTCACTCCCCCACCAGTTCTGAGAGCCCCGGTGCTCTGACCTGGCCCAGCCTCCCAGTCACGGTGGCACCTCCTAAGGCACTGTGAGCAAGAGGTGACTCAACACGCGTCAGATTTTAGGACAGTTGCGTGGTGCCTGAAACCGGCCCATGACACATGAGCTGCCTGTACGTCATCAGCATCATGAGCACGCCGCTGCAGGGGAGTAACTTCACTGAAACTCAGACCCCCACAGGCCTCTTCAAGAAAGACATGACCAGGAGGAGTTGTGTGGCTTCTCACTTCCTACTTTGTAAAAGAACACTCTCCTGATGTATCACGTCCCACTCCCGAAAGGGCCTTGGTGACTCTAGCTCAAGTGAGGAGTCTGCATCCTGCTCAGGGTCAGAGGTGGGCCAGGGGTTTGGAGCGTAGACCCTGCCCAGGCTGAATTTGAGATCTGCTTAATATGCGCCAGTTCCTTTGATTATGAGACAGGCTGGTGCGAGCGCCTGCCTGCAAGTTTAAACTTGACTCCATGCAGCTGGTGACAGTCTGGAGTTGGTGGCAAGGGATACCTGGGGCCAGGGCAGTGTAGGGGCAGGAGCTTCCCAGGACTGGCCAGTGGATGCCCCTGAAGGCTGGCACCCAGCAGTTCCCTACGTGGGGATGATGTGCCTCAGCTCCTGCCGCAGCCAAGTGTGGCTTTATCCCGGCATTGAATGAGAAGCTAGTGCCCAGGACAGTTCAGGATGGGAGAGCTGGTTCTACTGCCTATCTCTTCCCAGCTGCCTCCTGCCCCAGGAGGCTGGCTCTACTGCCCAGTCCTGCCTATGACGAACCAAGACCTGAGACCCAGGTTGGGCCCGCCTGATCCCAGAATCCCCACCTGACCCCACCGTGCCTAGATAAAACCGTTGCCTATACACCTGGGGTGCGCAGCTAGCCAGGCACACATTCACTCTCTCTTCCCAGCTCCCTCCAGCTGTGTCCTCTTTTTCACTTTTTACAAAGATTTGGTGACTTTGAACCCCAGTGAGTCACAGAAGCAACAAGTGAGGTGTCTCTAGAACTCTTGGAGCTGGGGGCCAGGGGGCGGCACAGCGGCAGCGTGTGACCCACAATGGGCCTCTGCAGCCAGGGAGCCTGCAGGCAGGGTGTGAAGGCAGCTGGAGGGCTTCCTGGAGCGGGCAGCTCCCCCTAGGCACGGCAGGAAGGTCCTGCACCAGCTGACGATGGAGGCCAGATTTGCTGCCAGCTGGCTGGTGACCTGGGGCCTGGCAATTCTTCTGCCTCTGCCTGTGTGTCCCTGTGTAAAGCAGAGTCACTGCAGGACTGGAGATGTGACTCGGTTGGTAGAGTGCTTGCAGAGCCTTGGGTTCGATGCCCAACACCATATAAACTGGGTGTAGAGGTCCGTGCCTGTAATCTTAGCACAGAGGAGGTAGAGGCAGGAGGATCAGAAGTTCAAGCTGTGTAGTGAGGGAAGGCCAGCTTGGGCTGTATTAGATCCTGGAAAAAGAGAGGAATGGGGAGATTACTGTAGGAGTAGGGCTTCGTGGATGAGCACTGGATGAGGAGTCTAGACCCCTAGGTCCTACTGCAGGGCTAACCTGGCACAGAACTTGGATGGGCATCATGACCGGCCCCACCAGTGTTTGCCTGGTGCTCCATGCGTTATCTGGGATCTCTTACTGAAACCTCACAACCACTTTACTCGGCTGGTGCACCGTGTTCAGATGAAGAAACATGTCCGGAGAGGTTGGCTGACGGGCCAGAGGCTACACAGCAATCACGTGGTAGTCCAGAGTCTGGGAGCATGGCGGGGATCCAGGATCCTGGGTCGCTCACACTCTGACCCCTTCTCCCCTTCACCTTCTTTCTCTCCCAGGCTTCTAGTCACGGTCGCAGTGCCATTCTGTTCCTGGGTGCTTTGTGGCCCCAGCTGCCATTTACGTCAGGGAGTGTCTCCCCTGGAACTCGGTGCCCTCACTGGCCTCTGCTGTATCCTGACCCATCCCCAGGCTGGTGAGAAGACCCTCTAAGGACAGGGGACTGGTGTAGCTAGAGTTTTCCTGCCTGGCCCACAGTCAGGACAAATCTTTGTCACCCGCCAGTCCCACAGCCGCTCAGACCCAACCAAGTAAACACAGAGACTTATATTGCTTACAAACTGTATGGCCGTGGCAGGCTTCTTGCTAACTGTTCTTATATCTTAAATTAACCCATTTCTATAAATCTATACCTTGCCACATGGCTGGTAGCTTACCAGTGTCATTACATGTTGCTTGTCCTGGCGGTGGCTGCAGTGTCTCCCCTCCTTCTTCCTGTTTCCCCAATTCTCCTCTCTCTTTGTCCCGCCTATACTTCCTGCCTGGTCACTGGCCATCAGTGTTTTATTTATATAGAGTGATATCCACAGCAGACTGGAGAGGGAGGAGTTTCATCCCCTGTGCCCAGGCTCTGTTGGCTAAATTTAGGTGCTGGGATGCAGAAGGAAGATGGTAATTAAGGGGTGTTCTGCCACTTTCCTATTGCCTCTCACATCCCTTGAGCAGTCACACGCCACTCGCCACTCGGGAAAAGAGGGAGGAGGCTTGGGTGGCCCAGAAGAGAAGGAAAAAAAAACAGATGGACAGCTGGGTTTGGGGGCAGGGGTGTCCAGACCTGAGGGCTTCACACTCTGAGGCGCAGGTGCTGCCTGGGCTGTATGGTGTCCTGGGGCCCTGGGACCCCGCAGGAAAGGTTACAGAGGACAATTTTCCACAACACACCCCAAGGGCTTCCTCCAATTAGCACTGTTCACAATCCCTAACTTAGTGCTGTAACCCTCAAGAGCTCTGCCCCAGGGAAAGGGGCCAGCTATCCATGGTGGGGAAACTGAGTTGCCTGGGGAGACCTTAGCCATGGCCTCTTTGAGTCTGGCCTAAACATGGTCATCTATCGCTCTGTAAGAGAGATGCTAGAGGAAGTTCTGTAGAAGAGAGGCGATGGCAGGACCCTGGAACACAGCAGCTACCTTGGGGGGTGGGTGGGGTTGAAATGTAATTAAATTGATTAATTTATTATATGTAGGGAGCATGTGCTAGAGGTTGACTCTGTGTTTCTTCTTCAGTTGCTCC